AATAATAATAATAATAATTGCTTGTTTGACGATATTCGATAGTGCAGTAAAATTATACGATTACGTGAATATTAAGTTTTAATACAAAACCACGATTAGCCCTTCCGGTGTTCAGAAAACACTAGATCAATTTAATATAAATCTACTACACAAGAATATTCCACTGCAATAATCGATTTAGAAAATAATGTTTTATTTTGAAATCTGGATTAGAATCGTTTTTGTGTCTATAAAATAAAGTGGGATTACAGAGATTTTTTTTATTTTCTCGGAGGTATACTATTAAACTATTTAACAAATTACACGTGGACTTTGAAATTTCTCCTAATTATCAAGAATTGCGGCGATGTTTTTTTATTTCTTTTCAAAATCGAAATTTAAGAAGCAGCACCTTTTTAAGAAATACTTTACAGCTGCGAGTGTTCTGATCTTAATTTACTAACTTTCATGATTGCGAGCAACAAAGAGAATTTTGTACGATACACTACTGGAATAATACTGGAATCAACTGGAACACGATACTGTTTCAACGATTAATATTAATGGCAGAGGGATAATAATTATGACAGCATAATAATATGAATGCCAGTGTAGAATTATTTATGACAGTATAATAATATCAATGGCAGTGTAATAGTATTTCTGACAGTGTAATAATATGAATGCCAGTGTAATATTATTTATGACAGTATAATAATATCAACGGCAGTGTAATAGTATTTCTGACAGTGTAATAATATCAATGACACTGAATGCAGAGCTCGCTGGACTGAAGACTTAGCGGCCCGGGAGCCACAGGGTTCAGCTCGGCTTGTGCTGCTCATGTCACCCAGAGCAATTAGGACAAACTAACTGCCGCGAAAAGCATGATAATAATAATAATAATAATAATAATAATAATAATAATAATAATAATACACTCCGATCGTGTGGCTGTAAGGCTACGTCATCTCACACAGAGAAAGTCTTCAAGCTCGAGGCTCTGCTCAGACCCTCGTGTTGCGACAGAAGACTCGAGACGAGTCACCGCACGAGCCAAGCGCCTCTCGCCCTCGCGTCGGAACCAGCAGCACATCGGTACTGACCGGGTACAGCCGCGAAAATGACCCCTGAACTGGCCTTACCGCTTCCGCGACCGCCGTCTCCCGGCCTCTCAGAGGCGTCCTCTGCCCAAGTCTTCCTCTGCCCAAGTCTTCCTCGCCGCGACCCCGCGCGGCTCTGTCGGGGTGCTGGAGCGAGCGCTCGGACGCGTGTCCTGTCTCGCCGGGCGGGACCCCGCGCCCGCCCGCTCGGCTATAAGAGGAAAGGGAGACGGGCGGGGGGGGTTGCCAGGGTTTTGTGGTGCGAAGTGGCAGCAATCTCTCCGGGTTTGGATTGTGCAGACGCACAATGAGCCAGTTGTGTGTTTAGCAACAGAATAACGCCGCTCGTCCTTTTCGTCTTCATTTGCATCATTACAATATCTTTACAAGCGCGTGTCATTGTGCGCCTCTTGCAGCCTTTGTGCGGGGCTGCTGTCACCGGTCCACGAGACTTGACTTTGCAATTTCAAATGAATCTGTAATTCCGGCTACAAAGGGCCCTCGCGCTCCCGATACAGCGCGGAGCCAGCTCGTGCGGCCGTGCAGCTGCTTCCTCGTGACAGCCAGTGCACAGGGTCTCGAGCTTCGCTGCTGCTCTGATGATAATAATAATAACAACAATAATATTAATGATATCAACAATAGTTTTTTTATTTGTATCATTATTGTTATTATTAGTTTGCGCTGCTCGGCACAGGGCTCAAGCAGGCCTGTTGGCCCATTTGTTCTGAGACACGGAACCCAGAAGTTCGGGGTGGCGGAATTACACTGGAGCCAGTTTAACGCGAAGGCCATTAGCATGGAGAGGAGGGGGGATCGATACTGGTGGAACCCGCCGCCCCCCCGCCGCGAGCGCGAGCCCCTGTGGCCGGGAGAAAGGCGCTCTCTTGATGTGCGCGCGATAAGCCTTATCAGCGCCGAACATCCACTTCCATCTCGTGCCCGCATTAGAGCACGCGTTTAATTCATCACGCGACCGCTCACCTCTCTCCTCGCGCAGCTAACAGCCTGCATCACACCGGGACACCCCGCGAGCTCGCATTCCCCCCCTCGCCTGGCCGCAGGTACGAGGAGAGCACCTGCCCCGGCCTGGCCTGCGGAGGAGAGACTGCGATAGAGCTGCATTTCATCATCATCATCGTCGTCATCGTCATCGTCATCTTCATTATTATTATTATTATTATTATTATTATTGTTGTTGTTGTTGTTGTTGTTGTTGTTGTTGTTTTACCTCGAGTGTCTAGCTCTGTAATACTCAAACAGGAATCAAACAGGAATCAAACAGCTCATGCTAATAACACCAGCAATAAGGATCATTCTCTCCTTCACTCCTCTGTTCTACAGAAATTATTTTGCGTATGTTTGCTCAGAAAAAGAATTCGCCGTTCCCTTAAAATTGTTTTGCATAGTGAAAATGCTGCTACTACTTCTACCACTAATAATAATAATATTATAATAACAATAGCAATAATAATAATA